TGCTGTGCTTTGGCAAGTATTTTAGCTCCATTACTTAGATTTTTTCATTAATAAAATGAGAAAAACAATAGTACCTAGAACCTCAAAAAGTTGTTGTCAGGATTAAGTGGGGGCGGGGGGACTAAGAACAACAAATCATTTCAATGGCACATAAAAAGTGCCTTAAAAGCACCTAATAAATATCTATTTTTATTGAATACAAAGAGACTATTTCATGTCTTCTAATCCATTACTATTAAAAAGAATTTCTTCTGTTTTTACCATATTTTCTGAGGCCTGCTCTTTCTTATAAAGCTAATACATTACAGAGCACAGCCTATAAATATAATCAGTCCTCATTAACATTACCACAAAGATTTTTCAGAAAGAAAAGGACTGCAGCTAGAGAGAGACCATTTCATTTTTAAATATGGCTCAGAGAATCTAACCCGATTAGTTAACAAATGGAAAATATCAACAAAAGATCGTGTTCCCTGTCCAACTCAGACTTTTATGCGTATTTATAACTACTAAAATCTAATTCTGTTATCAGAAATCATAAGCCTATTCCTAGCAGTGTGATTTATATAATGAAATCTTCAAAGACACTTTGTCTTGATAGATCAATGCTGTCTTGTGAAAGTTACCTAATTCTGCAAAACAAGTAAACAAAGCCTAAATATATTATTCTGAGTATCTATCTTACTTAGCCGCCTACATATTGTCCTAGTAATTATGCATAAATTGATATGTGTATAATTCCAAAAGGTGTAAATACTCAAATCAGGTGGGCATCATTGGCACTTACTTTTTATCTCTATAAATAAATAAGCCTATCAAGTCTTGTACACTCTACTACTATATTTGATCAATATACGAAAACATTTTCAATAGTAAGATTTTCCTTCAGATGTGCACAATTAAGGTAAACACTTTTAGAATGAACAGTGTTTGGTTCACAGCAGAGGCTTAACGATGTGGCTTTATTACTACTACCTTTCTCTACTGAATGAACAATTAATATATCATATTAGATATAATCCTGTTAATAAATGTCTATCATAGTTAAATTGCTTTATAATTTAACAATTTCTTGAGTACTTTTGCTCACGAATATGAATGTTGCATATTGCATCTAATCAAGTCGGGCTCGGTGGCTCAGCCTGTAATCCCGCGCCTTTGAGAGGCTGAGGTGAGTGGATTGCCTGAGCCCGCGGGTTCAAGACCCGCCTGGGCAGCGAGACCTCATCTCTACAATAAATCAAAAAATCAGCCGGGCGTGGTAGCGCGTGCCTGTGATTCCGGCTACTCGGAAGGCTGAGGCGGAAGGATTGCCGGAGCCCAGCAGGTCGAGGCTGCGGTGGCCGGGAGCAGCCACTGCACTCCAGTCTGAGCGAAAGTGAGACTCCGACTCAAAAAAAAAACAAAAACAAAAACAAACAAACAAACAAAAATACATCTAATACATATATTTTTTGAGAGGACAAAAAAGTTCCCGCAGTGGAAGGAGACCATAAGGAGTTGCCCTACATCTAATATTTTTATTAGTATCTCTTCCTAATTTTCATTATCTATATGGTACTATATCACCTGGATATAAAGTGATTAATTTAATACTTACATAACACAGGAAATTGGTTTTGGATAAACTCCTCCTAAAGTTGATTTCTAAGTGTATTGATAGTTCAGTGGTTCAAAACATTTCTGGGTCATATGCACCTTTAACACTCATAAAATTATGGACTTTTTCCCCAGAAAAAATATGCATTAATAAAATAAATATGTAATAATTCAGTATACAATGCCAAGGCAAATTATTTCAGGTGAAGTATCCCTGTTCTAGACAATCTGAGTATATGGCTCATGTTCTTACTTACAAATGCCTCTCACAATTAACTTCATATTTTCTTTGCCCCAATCTATGAATATGGAATTACTTAGACTATCCATAAAATAACAATAGGTTTTTAAGCACTTATTATTGTCTGCTATTGTTCTAGTGCTCTGTTAATATCAACTCTTTTAATCTTCATAAAAACCCTTTGAGATTGATACTATTATACAAATAACAAAGATACAGAACAGAAAAATATTGAGTATATTGTCTAATTCACACATATTGTCCTTACATTTAAGCTTACATTTTAATTCAGATACTCTAAGTTAGGGGGTAGCAAATTTTTCTGTAAAGAGTCGATAGTAAATATTTTAGGCTTTATAAGCCAAGAGGCAAAATCAAGGATATTATATAGGTGTTTACATAGCAAGAGAGATAAAAAATGTCCACAAAATTTCTACTGACAAAATTTAAACTTTATTTATGGACACTGAAATATTAATTTCATATTGCTTTCACAGGTCAAGAAATGTTCTTTTGATTTGTTGTCACCTATTTAAATCGTTAAAACCAGTCTCAGTTCACAGGCCATAGAAGGGTAATAAGCTGGACTTAGCCCACAATCATAGTTTGCTGACCCCTGCTCTAGACCAAGAGACCATTATACCAGACTGTCTCATACAGTCTACACAATTATTTCACTTGAAAAATGCCTTGATCCTGCCAAATCTCACGCAAGAACTGGCTGGTACCACATAAATCTCCTCCTGGATTCCCTTGGGAAAAAAAAATGTCTGCTCTTGATTGCTGTCTCTGCACAAACCCCCAATAATATACCTCCTAAAGACCTCCAAAACAGAAGACTGCTACTTACTAACACAATCAAACCATCTCCCACCATGCTATTTTTCCACTCATGTCCCTAAAGAAAATCTAAACTATCTAATTCTACCTAATCATTGGTCTCCTCTTTAACAAATCACCACGTAAAGGAAGGCTATTTCTATGTCATGAGAATGCTTAGACAAAAAGGGAACATGGGGGAATTGAACAAACTGCCAAGTGGTTATATTAAAACGAACTCTAGGAAAGTTATTTGATTAAGTACTGGGAAAGAAGAATATCTCTCTTCATGATACCACCATTAACTGGGAGGAGAAGGCCTAGACACCAGGTAAGTAGCTAAGTCACTCTCTGGCAGGGTATTTCAGATGAAGTTATTCTACATCCTGAAAAACAAAAATGTATTTCATAAAACAAACAAAAATTTTCTTTTTTTTTTTTTTTTTTTGAGGTGGAGTCTCACTCTGTCGCCCAGACTGG